GAAGAAGAAGAAGAAGAAGAAGAAGAAGAAGAAGAAGAAGAAGAAGAGGAAGAAGAAGAAGAAGAGGAAGAAGAAGAAGAAGAAGAAGAAGAAGAAGAAGAAGAGGAAGAAGAGGAAGAAGAAGAAGAAGAAGAAGAAGAAGAAGAAGAAGAAGAAGAAGAAGAGGAAGAAGAAGAAGAAGAAGAAGAAGAAGAAGAAGAAGAAGAAGAAGAAGAAGAAGAAGAAGAAGAAGAAGAAGCTATCCAGTCACATGGCCATGCCCACCTAGCCATGTCCACTCAAAATTTCCACTACCGGTTCCCCAGAACCGGTCAGAACCTGCTGAATCCCACCTCTGCTAGATCCCTCCGACAATGAACTGCTGTAGAGCGAGGTGCCACCTATTCTATACCTGTGTGTTTGGGTTTTTCTCGCCTAAGTGTAAAACCTTAGTTGTATCACCGCTGAACTGATCCCCCCTCCTCCAGGAATACCCCTCCACTACTCTTCCCGGGGTCTCCCTTCCCCGCTGCTCACCCCCCCTTCTTGCTTGCTTACCAAGAGGATATTGATCCGCCTTCTCCTGGGAGGAAAATCTGTTGACTGCAGATGCTTTGCTGAGATCAGCTTCTATGCCAGGAACCTCCATCAATGCAATGGGACAGGTTGGGTTGCAGAAGACATGAGGAGGCTCCGCGGGGGCAGGGTGAGGTGGGGGAGACGAAATGGGAGAGCCCCAAAAGGATTTGGCCCAGAGAGACCTTGGGGAACCCACCGTCCTGGAGCCCCTGCTCAGGAATGGCCTCCACAGGTAGTCCTCAACTTGTAACTGTCTGTTTAACGACCGTTTGAAGTTACAATGGCACTGAAGAAAGTGACTGGCCCAAAGTCACCCAGTTGGCTTTCATGCCTAAGGCAGGACTAGAACTCACCATCTCCTGGTGATTGGCCCAAAGTCACCCAGTCAGCTTTCATGCCTAAGGCAGGACTAGAACTCACCGTCTCCTGGTGATTGGCCCAAAGTCACCCAGTCAGCTTTCATGCCTAAGGCAGGACTAGAACTCACCGTCTCCTGGTGATTGACCCAAAGTCACCCGGTGGCCTTTCTTGCCTAAGGCGGGACTAGAACTCACCATTTCCTGGTGGTTGGCCCAGAGTCACCCAGTCAGCTTTCATGCCTAATGCAGAACTAGAACTCACCGTCTCCTGGTGATTGACCCAAAGTCACCCAGTGGCCTTTCTTGCCTAAGGCGGGACTAGAACTCACCACCTCCTGGTTTCTAGGCCAGCAACTTCACCAAGCCATTCCAGGTAGTCCTCGACGTACGACCACAACGGTGTCCAAAATATCTGTTGGGCTAAGCGAAACAGTTGTGCATTCCCCTCCCCCTCCGTCATGACCTTTCCTGCCCCGGTTGTTAAGTGAATAAGGCTAAATTATATGATGAACGGTTGAAGGAACTAGATAGGTCTGGTCTAATGAAAAGAAGGACTAGGGGAGACATGATAGCAGCGTTCCAATATCTCAGGGGCTGCCCCAAAGAAGAGGGAGTCAAGCTATTCTCCAAAGCCACCAAGGGCAGGACAAGAAGCAACAGGTAGAAACTAAACAAGAGAAGCAACCTAGGAGGAATTTCCTGACAGTGAGAACAATTAATCAGTGGAACAGCTAGCCACCAGAACTTGTAGGTGCTACATCACTGGAGGTTTTCAAGAAGAGATTGGACAGTCAATATAAGGTCTCCTGCCTTGGACAGGGAATTGGACTAGAAGACCTCCAAGGTCCCTTCCCACCCTGTTCTGCGTTCTTGTTCCCAGAAGGGTGACCTTGCTTTTGAATCCCCCCTCCTCTCGCCCCCCTTCCCCGAGCCATTCTACTCTCTCCATTTGCTCCCTGTGAATGTCACTGAATTGCACAGACATTTTGCTCCCTGGAGGATAAGCGAGACACTAAAAATAAACTTTATTTTTTTTTTTAATTTGGTTGGGGATACGCAAGTCCCAGCTGTCCTGTGTGACTTGTAGTATCTTGTTTCCCCCTGCAGTTCAGGAGGGAGGGATGTGTCGAAGGACGTACAACCTATTTTCGCGGCTGATTCTTCCGCCTTCACGGACGTTCATACCAAAAAAAGTCAAAATGGCGGCTGGGGTTACGCCCAACTCTTGTTTATGTGTGACACGGATGGCTTAATAGAATGACGGAGTTGGAAGGAGCCTCGGAGGTCTTCTAGTCCAACCCCTTGCTCAATCAGGAGACCCTATACCAGTGGTGGCTAACCTTTTTGGACTCCTGTGCCAAAAATTGCATGCACGCTAGTACCCAGAATGCAATGTGTGCCTCCCGACGCCCCCTGTGCATGGGCATGCAACCCCGTCACCTTACCTGCACTGCGCCTCACAGCTGATTTTTCGGCTAGTTTGAGGCCTTTTTCAGCTTCCCAAGAGGCTTGGGAAAAGCCTCTGCAAGGCTTTTCAGGTCGAATGATAGGCCCGTTTCGTCACTTCCGGTATTTACAGGAAGTGACAAAACGGGGCTATTATTTGTCCTGAAAAGCCTTACGGAGGCTTTTCCCAAGCCTCTGGGAGGCCCCCAAAAGGCCTCAAATCAGCTTTAAAAAATCAGCTGTGAGGTGTGCGCATGCGCAGTGAGGTAAGTTTGCCTGCGGCTCGCGTGCCAGCATAAATGGCTCTGCATGCCGCTTGTGGCACCCGTGCCGTAGGTTCGCCATCATGGCCCTATCCCATTTCAGACAAATGGTTGTCCAATCTCTTCTTTAAAAACCTCCCGTGAAGGAGCATCCAACAAGAGGCAAGTGTGGTTAATTGGAAGCAAGCGTGGTCAATTGTTCTCACTGTGAGGAAATTTCTCCTTAATTCTAAGGTGCTTCTATTGCTTCTCTCCTTGATTAGTTTCCACCTGTTGTTTCTTGTTTTATCTTCAGATGCTTTGGAGAAGAAATTGACCCTCTCTCCTCTGGGGCAACTCCTCAAATATTGGAAGACTGCTATCATGTCACCCCTAGTCCTCCTGGAGGCTAAAACATACAAAGAACCGTTGCTGGAACTGGGTGTGTCTAGTTGGTTGAAAAGAAGGACTAGGTAGCAGTCTTCCGATATCTCAGGGGCTGCCCCCAAAGAAGAGGAAGTCAAACTCTTCTCCAAAGCACCAGAAGGCAGGACAAGAAGCAACGGGTGGAAACTAATCAAGGAGGGAAGCAACTTAGAATTACGGTGAAATTTCCTGACCATTGGAACAACTAATCAATGG